ATCAATTTCAACTTGATTTCCATCAAAATCATCGACTTCGTCATCTGAAAGAATGATTTTTATAATTCTATGGATTTCGAATATCTTTACTTCACAGGTCTAAATAAATAAATTACCATTGTTAATTTCAATGCCAGAATTGTGTTCAACGTGACATGAGACTTTAGGCTTCTGTGATCTTAAATACCGAACGGGAATGGCCTTATCACTACCTAAATTATTGAATTCAGTCTCGAGTTCTGACAATTGAAGAGGTTTTAATGTATTTAGCTGCTGTTTTAAGGGAGAACCAATCCACCTGATACAAACGTGAAACGGATTAGAAGATTTTGAAGACGACACAGACGCTTTATTTAGAAAACAAAAGAAATTTACCTGTATATTTCAACAACCAAAGCTTTCGTTTCATCACGGACGGTTTTATCACGATCTTCGAGTAATGCTGGTATTTTTTTCATCAAAGGTTTGACATTAATAACTTTGGGACCAAATTCCCTAAATAATTTCATATTTTACTACATTATCGTCAAAAGATTTCGAAATAATTAATACCCATACCTTAGAGCGATCGCTAAAGTTGTAATACAAGCTGATACAATTTTTGGATTTTTAGCATCGGTTCCTTTCAAAAGTTCTTCTTGAACAGCTTCTTGCTTTTCAATTTCAATGTACATTAAAATAATTTGCACTGCTAAATCTTTTGTTTTTACTTTTGGTGCAGCAATGCATTTTGTAACAATTCCATTCATAACGTCATTAGTTGTTCTTAAAAAATTAAATGAAAATTGACGATTTAAGGTCACGAAAAATCTTACCAAGGAACAGGTTTGTTGAAAATTATATACGATTAAAAACCATTGTTTCCTCTATTTATTAAAATATAGAACACGCGATCAACAACCACTGCTTACACGCTACTTTTACTAAAATTATATTTCAGGTACATGCTCGGAGAGAAATTTATTTCTCAGAGTTTTAATACATACAACCTATGCAAATTATTATTCAATACTCTTTATTAATAATAATGTGAATTAAAATATGTAGTACTATAAAGAGGCATACACTTAAAGATAGATGTATTTTTTATTTTCTCGTACTCTCAGAATATTTACAAAGATAATATATTTTACAAAAAGAGAAAGAAAAAACTCACTTTCCAGCAACAGCTGCATTTTCTACATACGCAAGCACCGCTTCCAATCCTTTTTCTTGGGCCGCAGCATTGCTGTCGATAACAAATTTTTTTACAAGGCCAAGGAACTTGTTCCATTCCGATGCTTTTTCATCGTCGATACATCGAAATGTCTTTGTACATTCTTCATATCCGTGCAATCGTGCTTTCCACAACTATCGACAATTTATAGAATTTACATACAATATTCGAAAGACTTGATAAAAATCATTTATGATAATTTGAAGCAAAAACAAAGTTACTCACTTTATGTACACAACGATCTTCGACAGACAATTTTGTATATTCTGTATCTTCTTCCATTTTTAGCCTCTACAAGAACATGGATTTCTAATAGAAGATTTACATAAACAAACAATTTTAGAAATCCAATGATTTAACGTAGATTCGAAATTATTTCAAAATCTAAAATAAGCCTTAAATATCAAGTATCAGCGGTATAGGGAGGGTGGAGGGGAGGGGCGAATGAAAAAACGAAGAAAAAATTAAATAATCCAATCCGATCGCTAACGGTAAAATTAATAATCACACTGATTATTGACGAGAAGAAAAAAATTTAAAAGATAATAATAACATGATGGATTGGATCGGCTTATATTCATAACCTATCGAGGATCTATTGCGTTCAATTTTGCCAAATATAAACAAAAAATAATTCGAATAGTCAGCCTATGTGCAAAGAATTCGACGAAAAATGTTACTCTTTTATCGTCTCGGGGAAAATTAAGGGACATGTAATGTACACACCAGCGACGATGACGATGATCGTCTCGACTTTAAACGCATATGACAAATAAAACGATCTATTGCTGAGAATCCGATACTTACTTCATGTGTCGCTGACTTTTCGCTGTTGACACTTTGTAATACGCGTCGTAAATTCAAATTGAGCACTTATAGCTGCTGTCGAACAAAGGTCGACCCGATCTCCTCGACAATAGTATAGGAAATTCACTAACCGAAAGTCCGCAGGAGCGACATTTCGGCGGCCATTGCTTTTGCAAGTTCGTTTGATATTTTCAAATATGTCGGTACTGTCGATTTAACATTCGGCGCGCACTTGCCGCACGCTGCACGTAAAGCAAGTAAGCGAGTCTGCAATTGGCAGACAGACAGCACTGGCGAGAGCGCGAGCTGAACGAAGGAAATATGGCGTCGAAGGCAGGAATCGCGGTTGTGTGGTACATCTATATTTATCGCGGAGTAGTAGTGTTAAATCACCGGGAATAAGAATATTCCCTTAACGCGCTCGAATTATCTTGTCGTCTCCCCTTTCGCCGATGCCTCCTTTCTCAAAATTTCAGCCAAGCCGTCGTACAATGTATCGACTATTATTATTATCGTCGTCGTCGTATTGTTGTTGTCGTTGTTGTCGTTGTTGTCGTTGTATTGTTGTTGTTATAACGATGTAGCATCGAAAATAATATTAAGGGTAGAGGGAATTGTTCGTTGCGCGTAAAGAGAGACAAATGAAAACAACATATAAGCAATAATTGCAAATTTGGCGTGGAGTGACGGTAGTAATAAGATGAGGGTTTCCTAACAATTGCACCAAAGGCCGTAAATAATGATTCGAGCTTTGAACTTTTGAATAATTTGAGAGAAGAAGCCGTAAATCGTCGTTAAAATTGTTGGCTTTCACACGGTTTTTCCTTGCGATCTCGCCAAAAAAGCCACTTATTTTCACGCAAAATACCAGTTCCGTATTACATTAATGACGAATAAACAAAGGAATAACAAAAAAAATGAGAAAATTGCTAGGGAGGTATCGTTAATTGATATTATCGATTGCTGCGCAATAATAAAGAACGGCACAAAGACGAACAAATATATTTTTATATATAATAATATTAAAGTAACAAATGTGCTTCGTTAATTATTATATGATCCCAGGGATAATAAGCCGCATCGCAGGCGCGCTCGCGTACGCACACAATTATATATATATATGTATATATACTTATGAAACGTACAGCCATGCGTGAATGTATCAAATATCAAAAAGCGACTACTTCAAGGCAATGTCGCGGTGAACTGCTGTGACTGTGTGTAAGCGCTTCCGATTGTCGGCATATATCCTTATATGTATAGATCTGTGCCATAATGGTTGAGACAGCGAGGGGAAGGCCACTGTTTAAGGTCGTCGTGTGTGCGTCTAGGCGTGCGCGTGTGTGTAAATCTATTGCCTCTGCCGTTCAATTCAATTTGTTTATGAGTTGGGCAATTATTATTCGAGCCATACGGACGATTTGCGCGAGGCTCGCGAGGCCTTACCATGCCCTTCCAAAACTTATTTAATTCGTTATGTAATAAAATGACGCGATTAACATCACCAATTGGATGGTATTATTATTATTTAATGAATGGTCGACGATGCGCGAGATCGATAAGGGAATATTATAGGTGTCGCATGTTAAAAATTAAAATATAATTTTGATCGTATGTAATTGTTGTTGATGCGATGCATTGATAATGATCGGTAATTGTGGTAGTGCTAGTAGTTAGTAGTAGGAGTAGATAGTTTTACAAGGAGCGCGTATTAATTGTTCGAGGTATGGGGTATGCTATAATGGAAATGCTTTCACTCGTTGTGGAAAATGTTATGAAACTGAAAATTATCGCTCAAATGAGATGGGAAAACGAGAGAGTGCGATAGAATAGAACAACGCTCGATGAAATACATTTCATCGTTGTTGCCTCGTTGATGATTTATCTTCAGTCAGGGTGTCGATAGATATGGTTATAATTAGAGAGGTAAATTGAAGCGAAATTGTCAGATTAAGAATACTTTGTTCCAGACCTTTGCTTTATGAATAATGAAAACAAATTGTTTGCATAAAGTTATCGAATGCAATTTTCAGATCCATAATTAAATAAAAAAGATTTGGAGTTTTAAATGTTTTAAATTATTGGCTGTATGCAAGTGCTATGATGAAAATAAAAAATAAAATTAAAAAATATATATATATATATATATATGTATGTATGTGTGTGTGTGTGTATGTGTGTATATGTGTGTGTGTGTGTGTGTTTGTTTGTTTGTGTGCATGTGCGCATGTGTGTATGTGTGTATTAAACATAAACTTCTTGAAATGACAGAAATGTCTTTTTTTTCGTTCGTTACAATCGTTTGTTTTTTAATTGTAAATATAATCTCAAACTCAAGATAGTATATCTGTTTTATAAATCATATCGGTTAATGCCTCTCAAGAAATTGTATTCTCTGCTTTCTAATAAAATAATAAAATCACTTTTGTATTATTACACAGCGGCAGAGAAAAATGAGAAAAATACAGTTCCCGGCAAAAATATAGATAAAGAATATATTTTATTTTCAAATAGAATGACGTATATTTAGTCGATTGCCAGGGAGCGCATTAACGCTTATAAATTGAAGAAATAAAAAACAATATAAAAGAAGAATACTGTATATATTTACTTAAATAATATGCTTGCGCATCCCCTTGTTGAGAAATTTTAAGATAAATAAATATAATCGTTCGTTAAACAATCCATTGGAAGATTCGGCCAATGAGGTTATTGGATAGATTCGCTTGTCAAAAATTATTTTTCTCCGGCAAAACGTGAAGAAGTCATTAATTATATCGAGAAAACGAAGCAATTGCAACAATAATAATTATTTTTAACGTTTCATGCACGATAAACTTAATAAACGCTCCCCCTCTAATAGCCGTACATAGCATTTATTGAGCCCTGCAGTCACGCTTCTAATATTTCGATCCTTCAATTTTTTTTTTTGTTTTATTTTGCTCAATCTCTCTCTCTCTCTCTCTCTCTCTCTCTCTCTCTCTCTCCTTCTTTATCATCTCAAAACTCAAAGTAAATTCACTTTCTTTTGCGCGCCGGACGGACGACTAATAACGCGCACATAAAGGAGCTGCAGTCGCTTTTCGAAACAGTCCGCGACGGAGAGAATATTAAAATGGCCGTCGTGGAAAAATTGTGTGATCAGCTGAGAGTCTCCTCCGCTGTGATGACGGCTCGCAATTACTGGTACAAGCAGATAATAATAATATCCGGGGATAACTGGTTCGGGTGAAAGACTTAGCATCGACTCGAGCGTCGAGAGTGAGAGAAATTCTTCTGTTGCAGGTGATACGACATACGATAATTCGTATCGGTACGTCATTTATCATCGGCGGGGGCACACTCGCGAATGCTTTTGTGTCGATCATTGCCTAGGATATTCCGGAGATGACGGACAGATAGTAATGAATTTTTTATTCTCATGCTTATCCGCTTTCGCCGAACGCTACCTCGCAGCAACGTCATTCCACGCGTATGTCGACTGAGCAGGTGGAAGGAAAATGTCTTTGAGCGAATAGAGTGAGTAGAAGAGCGAAGATGCTAAGTCGCTGATAAACAATATTGCATACGTTAGCTTACGCGTTTAAAAGAATTTTTAGAGAAAAATTGGGTTAAAATGTCGTGTAACCTATCCTACCAACGAGCTTCAACTTGTTTTTATCGTTGCAAATAGCTTTTGCATTTAATTTAAGAAGCAAGTGTTTGTAGCATAATATTCGCGCAGTGTTTTTATTCTGGCCAGTGTAAATTCATTGACGATTAACCAAATACGAGTGATTCGCGTACATTGAGTTATACTGTATTTATTCGTTGACTATCGGGATTTTCTGAAACAAGTATTATTTACAAAACCTCGTAAATTAAGGCTCGCACATTTTTGCCTTTAATAATCCTAGTGCAGACTTTATCGGGACAAATTCTTTTTCAACCGTTCACTTGATAATTATTATATTTATCTGGTTTGGTTCGCATCGAATAAGATGACTTTAGAAAAAGTCAAACAGGTTTTGATAATCTGATATGTATCGTGCATTTATTGTGCCAGTAAGATTATGTAAGTTAATCACCTCTCCCCCCCCCCCACACACTCTCTCTCTCTCTCTTTCACTGCTCCTTAAACCCAACACCACCAGCATCATCGTCAAACGCACATATGCACTCGTCAAAGACACGTATTATTATTATGTATATTTCAAAGAATTTGAAGATAATTTGTATGCGTTGCAATTTCAGTTTGGTGATACGAATTAACTGATATAGAAAATTACTTGGTGAATTTGTTTATTATTTGTTAATAAGTTATAATCGTTTTTCTTACTTATGCCTTTATTACAGATGACAAGTATTTGGGATTTGTTTGATAGTATCGTTATTTGGTGATAGATTAAGTGGAACCTTGTGTGAAAGTTGCACAGTCACTCGATAATTTGGAATTGCAACCAACTTTTAAGAGGACGTTGGCTGTAATGAGCGACTCAGAACAGCGTCAACTGCACGTGCCTTATCGAGAATATAATAGTCACAATAGTACAAATTCTGTGACGTTAATCGAAACCGATGCTCTCGTTGATTTATCAGTAACACCAAGTAATAACGTAAGTTTGTCTAACGGTGATTCAGTGGCCGTATTACCAGAAGTTGAATTTGCTCCTACCTTAAGCATTGATCAACCACTGATCATCGATTCTCCTGCAATGGATCGAGAGAATCAGCCTCTTCTTGGTCGATTAGAGCTGGATGTCACGTTCAATCGCTTTCCAGGTATAATACTAATATATACTCGTCGTTACTGCAAATATTGGCCTAGGCTTCCGCACGCACAAAGTATACGCAAATATTCAAAGTGTATTTTAAGTAACCAAGTATTTCAATATTATACTCGTTAACGATTAAGGACTTGTTACTTTAAAACTAAATGATTCGGCATTGAAATAAAAATTTCTTTAATGCTTTAACGGATAAGTAGTTATCAATTGGAAAACAATTTTTATCTTGAATTTCAAGGTATTTTATTGGAAACGAGATAATGAATTAAGTCACAAAATATATATTCTTAAGCGTACTGTAACATTAAGGAGCCACATTGGACTTATTTGATTGACAATGAAAGTCAAAATTAACGTTCATTTTAGCTTGAGCAGCGACCATTCTTCGATTAAATCCATCCGCAATGCAATTAAAGTTTTTCCTTCGCTTTGTTATTACAGATGATCCACAATTTTCAGACTTAGTATGGCAAGCGGAATGTGCAATTGATAATGGAATAAATCCCCAAAGAATATATCAAGGCTCCAGCGGAAGTTACTTTATTAAAAACCTGACAGGAGTAAGTTTATACGCTATGCATAAAGCATAATTTTATCCATGCGCAACATTCATTTTTAATAAAATAAAATACGCACACTGAGTAAAGAAAGTTAATGATTTCGAGACCAAGTGTCATGGATTGCTAAGACAGTAAACTTTATCCGAATACAACATTATTCAAGTTAATTGTGATTTTGCAGAAAATAATCGGCGTTTTCAAACCGAAAGATGAAGAACCTTACGGTAGACTCAATCCCAAATGGACAAAGTGGATGCATAAACTGTGCTGTCCATGTTGCTTCGGCAGAAGCTGCTTAATTCCAAATCAGGGTTACCTGAGCGAAGCAGGGGCTAGTTTAGTTGATCGAAAACTAGGCTTAGGAGTTGTACCAAATACCAGAGTTATTAAGCTTGTCAGTAAAACATTCAATTATGTGAGAATCGATAGAGAAAAAGCTCGAATGAAGCAAGCCATACTCGACCAGTTTCCGGCAGTGGCCTCACATTTTAATAGAATAGGTTTGCCGCCGAAAATCGGTTCTTTTCAACTGTTCGTCGACGGTTACAAGGATGCCGATTACTGGCTTCGTCGGTGGGAAAGTGACCCGCCACCGCCACATTTGGCAAATCAATTTCAACTTCAATTCGAACGTCTAGTTGTTTTGGATTACATTATCAGGAATACGGATAGAGGTAATATTATTTATAATACTCGTAGTAGGGAATTTCAATTTTAGAATTAGAAATGTAAAGTAGCAAGGTAAAACTTGTTTAGTGTAAACATATAACACTTAAAGGTACTTAATGAAAGACACATTTGACGCTGCATTGTATGTAAAATGCATGAACGAATTTGTTGTTGAATTCCATTTGCTAGTCTTGCTCGCTTTTTCAAACGGGGATATCGCAAAGATTGACATAATTGATTTGATGTTTGATACAGGTAACGATAACTGGCTGATAAAGTACAGCTCAAATTCGAATAAGAACGGAACCGAGGGAGAAGTGAAAATTGCTGCCATAGATAACGGTTTAGCCTTTCCGTTTAAACACCCAGATTCGTGGCGTGCATATCCTTATCATTGGGCTTGGCTTAGTCAAGCAAAATTACCTTTCAGTGAAAGCACTCGTGAATTAGTCCTCCCGCAACTGTCTGATCAGAATTTTGTCCAAGACTTGTGCGACGATTTATATCAGTTATTTAAGGTAGGCTAAGGGCCATGGATTATCATTTTCGAGCCATACCAACAGCATCGTGAATTATAATTAATCGGTATGGAATGTCTTCTTGATTTATTTTACAGCAAGATAAAGGATTCGATCGACATCATTACGATAAGCAGATGAGCGTCATGAGGGGTCAGATATTAAATCTGCAGCAAGCACTGAAAGATACCAAGAGTCCTGTACAGCTTGTTCAAATGCCCGCTGTCATTGTCGAAAAGTAATTGTTTTTTTTTTTTCTTTTAATTTAATTACCACTTTAAAGAGTATTATTATTCAAATTATTCAAAAGCAGTTTGTGCATTGTCTTTTATATGTCGATTAAAGTATCTCTGTCTCTGTCTCTGTCTCTGTCTCTCTCTCTCTCTCTCTCTCTCTC